TTTAGAACTATATATAAGGCTTTAGTCTTCCTAGGGTTAGTATCTTTGGCTGGAACGAAGCAGAAACACACTTTATCACCCTTTGGAGGAGGACTTTGGATGCTAAAGTTCCTTTCTCAACTTTCTAGGGTTCTATCTTTCATTCCTTCATTGTACTTCATCTACTTTCACCATGAATATGGTGACCTAAACCCTTATTTTTTATTGGGGAATCAATGTAATCCTTTGAAACTCTCATGTATTGAATTTGTTCTTTAAGATCTTTAAGATATATGTTTTCTTTCATTAATTGTTAGGTTTTTCCTCTTTACTCTAAGCATGCATTGTTTAACTCATTCGATGTCATGATTATTGATTTTGTCGATATGGACACATACGGGGAAATCTAGATCTGGGACTCCTCCCATATGTATAACCTAGACATAGGATAGATGGTTGGTATGCCTTTAAAGCTTCTGTTTGTGTAATGCATGCATCTGTTAGGAATACAAGACATTGAACTAGTGATTGATTACGCTTTCTTCACCGAGACATTGGCTTAAGGTAATTTAGAAAGTGGCATTACCATTAATGAGAAAGTGATTCTTGAATACATGAGGAGTGTAGGGATGAATTGTAAACCAAACCCCACAAGAATAGTCTTCATATTATTCATCAACTAACTGTTTTTTGCATTGTTCAGTCCATTATCAAAACCTTGCATTCATGTTTTTATTTTTCAAGTTCAACAACATATTTCGTTACCAGTCTAAGATCATCAACAAATCACTACTGTTTAGGCCATGAGTCCTTTAGGAAACGATACTTGGTCTTACCATTTTTATTACTTGATACGATTCAGTTACACTTGCCGAGGGTTAACACCACCCATTCTCCAGCGAATCCAACTATCTGCTCGTTCTACAAGACGATCAGGTCTTCCGACAAATCCATCCGTTGGAAGGCTTTCCAATACAGATTATCAACGGAATTGCTTTGATCCACCAACACTTTTCTTACTCTATCCACATCAGGCTATCTCCGTCGTGATGACCATGGTACTACTGGAAAAGCGGGAATTACATACGGCATTTTACCGAAGGCCTTGAAGCCCTCGGTATTTAGACGTTTACCGAAGGCTGTGAAGCCGTCGGTAAGGACCTGACTAACTTAAGTCCCAAATTGGGTTCTTCGATCCCCAATTTCATTTTCTCAGCTTCGTCGTTTTTGTCCGTCCCTCCCCTCTCTCTTTCACAACATTTTCCCGCCCTCTTCACGCATCCGTCTTTTGTCCGTTAGTCACCGTAGTGGTCCCGTCACGATGGTGAGTGATGTGTTGTGTCGGTGTCTTAGTTCCACGGTCGTGTGGTTTTGGGGAGTCGGGGGCTAAGGTTGGTCCTGGGTTGGTTGGTTCGTTGAGGGCTGGTGGTGTGGAGGTTGAGGGACTCTGTCGGAGGGGTCGTTGTGGGCTTCTGTTGCTGTCGTGCTCGTGAAGCGGTATCTTGTTAGAGGTAGTTTCCACAAAACTTTCATTCACATTATCATGTTTTCATTTTGCTGAAGCCTAGACATTGTTGCTGCCTTCATCTACTTTTCATTCACTTGTTAGTATATGATTGAAGGAACTTGGTTGAGGAACTTCGTTGGAGTGGTCGTTGTGGGGCGTGAGCCGCGTGGTGTGACAGGTTTCCATCGTCCATGGCTAATCTCGTTGAGTTAAGTTGGTGCGTTTAAAAATTTCATATGAGTTGATCATGTTTCTTGGATCGTTTGATGTTGTTGTTTGATTGAAAAGATTGGTTTCTTAAAATTGGAATAGGGTCAAGGGAATTTAGATTGGCAGTGAAAAGGTTTAAAGAACCTTACCGTGTTTAGGAAATAAAAGCAAACGACGTGGTGAAGCTTGAGCAACAGTGGCAATTGTTGTATGAGAACCATAATTGAGTTATACATATCTCATTCTCGAAAAAAAAAACCTTTTTCCATAGTTGATGGACACATCCTTGTGCTGGGACATGATCCCACGCATACCAAAGAATAGGAATCCTCAGAATGCAACCACATTCTCTCTCGCTTTGTGTTCTACTAAAAAATAATTGATGTTGCTGACTTTAGTGCTTATATTTGAAAGGGTGATGAGTGTGGGGCAAAAACCACTTATAGAAGACTTGGATCCTACATAAGCAAAAGGAGGATAGAAGATCACTATTGTATTGTGTAAGTCCTAATTTGAAATGGTAATAGTAAATAATACTCGGTGGTGGAGGTGTGGTGATTTTTTGGTTATGAAGTGGGGGTACCCTTGTCTGGTGCCCTTATGAAATTATTAGTATTGGTGTCATGTCTTGCTCTCTTCACCTTGTTGTCCTTCTTTTGGTACTGTTTCTCAGGGTGATGTCAGCAGTAGGGGATCCACTTTTGGGAAAAAAAATTAAACACAAAATTTGGAATTGCATGCCTTGGCCTTCTTCATTATCTAAGAAAGTAATCATATCATTTCAAACAGAGTCTTCAAGCATATCAGGATATGCTTTTGGGAGAAGCGCATCAATCTTTTTCAAAAAAACAAGATCTCACTATCTCACTCGCCCTTTATCAGACAACCATGTTTTGCAATGGTGCTTCAGTGAGATTATTCAATCCTGCAACTGAGAGTCGTTTTGAATATATTCCTCCTCACTTTAACTCCACCCTCTCACCATTACAATCAGCACTGATTCATTTAGCATAAGCATTTTCCTTTCATTTTCTATGCTTGTTCGCCTTAGAATAGACCCATTTTCACTTTTCCTAACTAGGAATAGGAAGGGAGTAGTAGGGCGTCCTATTTTGCTAAGTCTTCCTTTAATTACTAACTCGCAAGGTAGTTTTATGTGTCTTAATTTGTGATTCGTTATAACTTCTTTTTTTTATGCTTACTCTGTAACAGTAAACCCATGCATGCTAATTATTTTACTTTTAGTTATTTCTTTTTCACTGGATTGGTTGTTGCTGGTTGCTAGTTTAATGGCGTGATCGTATGTTGGAGACCCTTTTTTCATCATGCTGAAGAATGCTTTTCCATAAATGGTGTTTTGTTGTTAGCATAGGGGCCTTTTTTGTTGTTTGTTAATTTGGAGTGAACGATGGATTTGACTTTTACTGTTTCAGTTTTTGGCACTTTTTGGATTGCTAGTTAATGTTTTGCAAAATGGACTTTGATCATTATATGAGCTTTATATATGTTTTCACGTTTATATTTTATTTACTTAAATTAACAGGTTTAAAAATGATTTCAAAATAAAAAAAAAAAATTATTGGTTTAAGTATTTGTACTTAAACTTAAGAACATATTTTTTTCTATATGGACACATACACATGTCCTTGATATTTTCATTTTTTTCTATATGGACCCTTTGCAGCCGCACAAGGTCAACTGTAAAGACTTTTGAGTCAGTGCATGCCCAATTTATGATCCAGAATGATTCCCCTGTCACAAGGTGTTGCCAATTTGCAGTGCTGGTCTGAGTTTTTTCATATTTAACGTTAAATATTATACTAGTTTAATCCCTCAAACATTAAAATATAGATTACTATGATGTATTATCAAGTTTATATTTTCAAATCATAAAGTTAACAAAAGCTTAAGTTCTTTCTATACACCATCAATACTTTTAAAAAGAATTACTGTAAAAGTTAACAAATTTATTAACCAACTAAAATTTCTTTACACTGTTAATCCACAAACTATTCACATAACTGATGAAGAAAGAATGGATTAAGGTATGTAATAGACTAATTAAGATTGAGATGATGATAGCATGAAGGATTAAGTGAAAGAGAAGTAATGTGAAGGTCTTAGATAGAAGGGTGTGTGTCTTAGGTTGGTTTGACCTTACGGCTTCAACAAGAAACATTTGAAAAGGGGCTATTAACAAACCTTTTTATCATCACTCAATCACATCTATTTTCTTACTTTAAATGTCTTGTATACAACTCTAAATATATAAAACATGTCACACATTTTTAAGTCTAAATTCAATTGCACATATTTTACATTTATTTACAATGCTTAAATTAGGTTAAACTAAATTTACAAATCTAAATATATTTCTCTTTATCTATATATGTCAAACAAGTTTTGATGCTTACGTTGTGCTTTAAAATTAAGATGTGAATATAGTTCAAAAATACCAGGATAGAAAATCAGGTTATTTTTCTTTTATTCTAAAAGAAGTTCATACCATCTATAACTCAATAAGTTTATCACAAGTAACAAACTGATGAAATTATTCTTGTTTAATAAGTATCTCGAGTTTAAACTTTCTCTCTCTCTATATATATATATATATACTTGCATTAACTGTTAAAAAATTGTCTTTATGCAGTCTTGTACCAAAAAAATAACAGATATAAACCCTGTATGTTATTGTAAAAAAGCGAAAATAAAATGCATTTGTATTTTCCTCCTTATTTTTATTTTTTTGGTGCTGAGCTCCCATTTTTTTTTATATACTGTCAAGAAAATTAGATAGCAATGACATATTTTTTTATATACTGTCAAGTTAATAGTTATTTTTTTTCTTTCCTTACATTACAATTGATTATGGTTTTGCCAACTTGATACGCAGTACTTAAACATGCAGATCCTAAACTATGCTTTTTTAGTATACAACATTACATGACTAAAGTGACATTAACAACTATAATATTGAGGACGTATTTTTCCAATTAACTAGCAGACAGCTCAGAGCTCTCAACATGATCAAAACATATTTGTAAAACTTAATTAAGATTGATTAATGTGAAGCAGGGATTATCCCTCACTTAAGCCAAGTGGAAATTTGAAGGAACGTGGCAAGTTTTGACAAATATATGGCTGAGAGGGAGGTTTAATCAGAAAGTTTGGTACAAGAAAACATGCAAATCCTAGAGCATGTTGGTGATGTAGCAACAGAAAATAAAATTTTCAGACAGTTACCAACCTCCAAACTTCTTCTTTTTCACTCTTTATATAGTCCTCTGAGTTCATAAACGGCTACACACTCATCCCACTAAGTTAATCATGGAGAAAGCAAGCACTAAATCTGCTTTGAAGGTTGGGAAGCTTAGTTTCATTTGTTGTTTTGTTCTTTCCCTCAATAACATGTCCTAACTGTTTCACTATTGTTTTTTCCATTTTCCTTAATTTTCCATGCAAAAGTTTGTGAAGAACACTTCTCAGTCTGCAGCTCAATGGAGCAGTACTAATTCTAGAGGAATGGTGAGATTATGCCTAGCTTTTCCCTCACATACATGAGTTCAGATTCTCTGCTGGATTTTTTAGTGCTAACCTATGCTAAACATTAAAAATATATTAATGTATTTTGAAGGCATAGCAGAAAAACAACACAAAACAACCTAACGGAGAATTCAAACTCTACCTTATATATATAAACCGTAAAAGGGCCCTCCTTATTT